CAACACCATTTTACGAAAATAACAATTATTATTAGCAAAATGGAAACATAATTCTGTTAATGTCTAACATATGAATGGAAATAATCTTCTTGGTAATAGAAGGAATAAAATAACAATTATTTAATTCTAATCTAAAAACCAATGGGAAAATCTAAACTATAAGATTCTATCACGTTCAGCAGCAACTTTGGCTCCAGCCTTCACGCGTAGGTCAATTTTTTACCCAGTCCAACTGCTACACTGCTTCTCAGGCTTCTGCACATTTTTACAAATGTGTAAGCCATAAGTTGTATCTAATACTTTAACAATGAGAACTAGTTATAGACATATTTATTTAATGAAAAAAATACCTGAGCTTGAATCACCCGGTGCTTTGGCTAGATTAGCCTTATACAACTCACAATCTCTCTTCCAATGCCCCTTCTCTTTGCAGTAGAGGCAAACATCCTTTGCAACCTTTGGCTTCATATGACCTCCACCTTTAGGCTTAAGAGCTGTAGGAGTAGGTCCAACCTTACCTTTCTTCTTTTGCTTATTCTTGTTCTTAGAACGAGACTTAGCATTAGAGCTTACCATAAGAACAATCTTTCCTTTAGAGGTTGAGGCTTCATAAGACTTGAGAATGTTATGGAGTTCAGGCATGGTTGCTTTCATTTTGTTCAAATTATAATTCACAATGAAGTTAGTAAATGAACTCGGAAGCGAATATAGGATGATAGCAGCTGAGACACGATCCTCAAACATAATTCTGGTGGTAGCAACTCTTTCAATTAAGCCAATCATTTTGAGGACGTGCTCAGACACGTTGCCACCCTCTTGAAGCCTACACTTGAAAATGTCTGTCAGAAGTTCATACTCTAGAGTCTGACTCTCTTAATCAAACAGACTTTTCAAGTGTTCAAGCATCTCGAAGGCGCTCATCCTATCGTGTTGCCTTTGCAACTCCATAGACATTGCAGCCAACATAACACATTGCACAGTTTTAGCATCAGTGACGTGTTTCTCTCGAGCAGTCAGGTCAAACGTGGCAAACTCAGGAGAGTTGGCATCAGGAATCTTGGGTACCGGTGTGTCTAACACATACTCAATATTTTCTTGTCTAAGAACTAAACGCACATTTCTTTCCCAGTAAAGAAAGTTTGGTCCAGTAAACTTGCATGTATCCAGGATACTTCTCAATGATAAATTCGACATACCTAAAAGCCTAAAGAAGTTCAAATAGAACGGAATTAAAATCATATATTAATTCCTATGATCACATCTAGTTAACTAAATAATACGGACTTTTAATTATTTAGCTCCCACTATTTTTACATGCTCTTTGACCCCAACAAAAGGAACATGGAATGTTTTACAATCATAGTGGCCAAAATCCTCATTCATACTATTACAGTCCCAGCTTGGGCTGATCACTGCAATAATATAATGGGTAGATCCCCAGACCAATTGCGTCCAAGCAACTTTTGGTTGATCAATTTTTAATTGATCGACATCCCTAAATTAACACTGACACTTGGGCGACTCGAGTTAATTTAAGTAAGTCAAAACCATCACACGATCACAAACATATGTATCTATAAATTAGTTCTATATTTTGTCGAATGGAATAAACACTTGGGTGAAATATTTTTCAACGAAAAAATATTTCTACTAATTTAATTATGATGGGTGATGTCGTTATCCTAGATAAGACTTAAATTTTAATTTATGGAGAACATTTAGCGGGGTATTAAATTATTCTATTTAATCAAGATGCTAGAACATATTATCAAATAATATGTTAACGAGATCTAACTCAGACAGATAACTTAAGCATGCACAAAATAATAATATAATTATTGAATAAACCAAGTTTATTAAAAGTAAACTTATTCAATCTCTAAGTTTTTTTTTATTCTAATTAAAATAAGGTTAATTTTAATATTTAACTAATATTTAAAATCTACCATTTTTAATATTAATTAAAAAACAACCCTGAAAGTGAGAAAACCCATGAACAAGCAGCGGCCTGGTAGAACTCCGAAAGTTCTAATCGCAACAGGTCTCAACAATTTTTATATTCTATTTAGCTCAAAGCCAAAAAGGTAAATTAGTTCGTGTGATAAACGAACTCTCCCACCTATGGGATTCTATTTTAATCAATCTAAAGGATTAATAAAAAATTCCAAAAAAAAGGCAAGCTTAAAATAAACGCTGCAGAGATCTAATCTAGCTGGTTATTCAGTCTAACAACAACAAGCAGACGCGGAGCAGGACCATCATCTCGACATCTTGCCTTCGTTGTATTGAAGATAAATCTTCTTCTTCGTCCAGAATCTAATCAACCCAGAATGACGTACAACTGCTGCTATTTGCCGGTAATGGCTCTTCGAATGTTGCCGTCTGCGGTGGAGCTCGTCGCAGCCATGGTTGCTCCGGTGAAGCAAGATCACCCATGTCTCGAAAGTACAACAAAAATACGAGTTCCCATCAATGATAAAGAAGAAGGGAGATCGTACGTAGAATGCAGTTTTTGATCCTAAACAACACCACCACAAGGGTTTTATTTAATTTCCAGATTTTATTTTTAAATTCAAATCTTAACATGTTTGTTCAAAAACAAAAATAATCAAATACAATACAGATTAGATTTTTCAACGAATATATCCACCACAATTCGTATAATGTCATTAAAATCAGTTTGGCTCTAATACCACCGTTAGAAAATTGATGTAACGTACCTCGAAAGTACGGCAACGGAAATTTAAAATTTTCCCAAACAGATCTTCCCTGATTATGACAAAATAACGAATATGATAATAATAACAGATCTGAGTTAGAACTTACAGATCTGAGTTAGAACTTACAGATCTTCCAGCCTAGCGGTGATAATCCTTGACCTTTGGTATCCACGTGATTTCTCCTTCCCGAAAGAACGGTTAGATCTCCCTAAGAGAAAGGCTAGGAAATCTCTTCGTAGGGAAATAAACTGGTAATACTGAATCTGAAAACTGGTCTATTAATTATGAAGGAGGAGAGTGTATTTATAGTAGTTCTAAACTAGTTTCCCAATCACAATGAAAGTTTTTCTCATTGATGAGTTCTAATCCAATTAGGACCAATCTCATTTATTTAATCAAATAAATAAATAAAACAAACTAATTCATAATAAGGGGGAAGTGGGCTGCACGCCACTTTCCACCCTTATTATAATATTTATTTTATTTCATTTAGTAATTAAATATCAATTAAATAATATAAATGATAAATAATAATAGTAATAAAATAACAACAAGAGAAAGGCTAGGGAATGGCTTTAGCCGCTACCCTACCTTTACTCCATATATATTATTATTATATTATTATTTATTATTATTTTGATTTTTATTTTAATCTAATTCCAAATTGTATTAAAAGAAAATATCAACTTTATATAATTATAAATACATCTTAATTAAGTATAATAAATCTAATTTATTTTACTTAATTAATTCTATCAAATAGAACTCTCCTTCAACTCCATGAATTAAATATGTTTAATCTAATTAATATTTAATTCATTTTCAGTATTACTAATTAAATATTATTTAATCCAATTTATAATATTTAATTTCTTCTAACAATTCAATCGGAAGGTGTAATCACTTGTTGTGTGACCCATAGGGCCTTATATATTAAGCACTAATCAAATTAAGGTCTTAGTAGAATCTCTAGACGATTTACCAGACAAACTTAATATATAAGGACGTTTGCGAGGACTATTCAAACTCCCTGTAATATAGAGCTCATAGTGATACGGTCCTTTCATTCAACGAACATTCAACTAAGTCTGGAACCTGATATTGTGTCTATTCCAATAACTTAGTCTCTATCTCTCAATCTCTCTAGATGATCCATAACGATCATATTCGATATCCAAAACGAATATATCTTTGCATTGGCCAATGACTTTATGATCCATCTAGATATGAGAAGTAGAATGTTCTCTCTTAATCTATTACGAGGAATGAATCCTTTCTTGGCTCAACTACTACTCCATGTGCTTCGTGATGCACCCAACACGTGACGTATCTACCCCGATTGGAGTGCAAGCGTTGGTCATGGTCAAAGTACATCACTCCGCACATGTAGTACGTATTGACCTCAAGTCTGAGGACTATTACACTACTCTATACGCCGATAATCCCATAGACACATGAATAGAACTTATCAAATGGTTTCTTAGTGGGTATGCCAATATTCTCTAAAATATCTATGTGACCATCATGAATTGCAAGAACTCATAGTTGTGAGATCAACTATACTTTCTAAAAGTATGATGCAGTCCACATACCAATGTTATCGCATATCATCAATATCCCTTTCTTGATGATCATTGATCGGGGCTATTTTAGGACCTTATGTTATATCATATAAGCTCTCACTTACTTATTGACAACATAAGTCCAAGGGAACACAATTATGAATAAGACACTGACAATCGAAATGCTTAATCATCAATGTGTAATACCGTATATATCAAATATATAAAACTGAATGTGATCGAGTACATATATCTCTAAAAAGTGATTGTCACTAGGACATATATACTAACAGTTTTAACACTAAAACTTTAAAAATAAACATAGTGAATTCACAACAATCAAGTAAAATAGCAGTTCGTATATCCTACACCCGGGTGTACGGGTGGGAACCGTACATCCGGGTCTATTTGTAATTTAATTGAAGCTTCAGCCCAATTTTAATAAAGTTTAATGAATTTGATGAAGGCCCAATTAATTAAGAACGACAGCCCATTTAATTGATACAATCTAATTTTTTTCGGTGGCTTTTTTGTAAATTAAGCGAAAAATCACGGCTAACGCTAAATGAGCAATAATGTACTTTTAGTGAGCACCTGACCTATTTTATTGAGTATTAGAAGACTAATAATGAGTATCACGATCTTTGCTTCATATCTTCTAATTCTTTTTCTTTTTCTTATTTTTTCTTTTATAAATATCTCCAGACTTGCAGTTGAAGAGTTGAGGTCAGTCAGCATTCGCGAATCGCTCCGGTCTTAGATTTGCACGGGAGACTTGAACCCTTTTCTCCTCCTTTTGTGTAGAGTAGGATTATCAAATAGTATAAGGAGTGCAATTCAAATTAGCTTTTGAACTGAATTACATACGGAGTGTGATTGAAATTCATATTGGGCCGTAGGCAAGTGTGACCGGATAAAGCTCACTTCTCATTTGATTCTTCTTGTTCGTTGATCTATCTTGATGACACAGAAACAAGCAAAGGTACCAAACATGGATTCATCCTCACTGCTATACAGCCAGCTCAAGGTTCGAACATCACCCTCTTCTTCTTCTCAAGTACGAGTAGTATATTGTTGAAAATATGATGAAATCTCTATCACATATAACCTGTAATCCACATTTGTGATGGGAGTGCTTCTTCTGATCAATCGCAGGCCGCGGAGCCCTTCTTCTTACTCGCTGGTCCCAATGTGATTGAATCTGAGGATCATATTCTTTACATGGCCAAGCACTTGAAGGCCCTGACATCCAAGTGTGTACTCTAGCTCCACCTATCACATACTCTGAACATCAAGTGCATATGATACACAATCCATATTTAATTTTTTTTACTGTAATTAATGTAAACATGTAATTGAAGTAAATTATTCGAAATCTAACTACAGTTTTACATTAAAAACAAAACTTATTTTATCAGATTTTGAATGTGCCACTCGATAGTGTGATGTGTATATTCTGGACTTGCACAATTGAAAAGTATTTTAAAAATAGGTAATGATATTAACAAAATATTTGTACTCCCACTGCTCCTATTTAATATGTACAAGGTTCCCCCTTCAATATTAAATACTACGTACTAAATACACTGGAAAACCCCCCAAAAGATAGTCTGACACACATTTTATAAAGTACTCCCTCCGTTCCTATTTTATCTTCCAAATAGGTTTGGCACACAATTTAAGATAGTGCGTAATGTGTGGTGGAGAGTTGTGTAGAGGAGAGAAATGTGTAAGAAATGTTGTGAACCACAAATTCTTTATAAAAAAGGGAAAGTGGAAATTTTAATTGGAACGGATGAAAAAGGAAAGTTGGAAGTTTTAATAGGAACAGACGGAGTATAATTTATTAGTTAAGAAATTTTAATGCAACTTTCTTAATTTGTGCGATTTTGACAGGAAACACAGAAAAACAAGACTGTATAAAGTATAACTTATTAGTTTATATTTCTTTGATATATTAAATTTTGAAATTCTGAACGGGATTTCGATCATAGAGCAGTGCCTAACATTGCAATAAGTTTTGAACAGTTTTGAGGGGGACAATCAGTCTTATTTGCCACGTACAAGTCAACGTTTTATCTTGGAGGAGAGGGAGTAGTTCCCCCACTCTTCTCCATTGTCTCTGCCATTTGTTTTAAATACTTTAAAGCCAATGAATGTCAACATAATTGTGATAGGCATTTAGCTCAAACTTGATGAACTTTAAGCTGAAACGTGATGAATATATGTTTGTGACACCTATCTAGGTGATCCAGAACTCACTGGTGTAATTGGAGGCAATGTATGTTCTGATGAATTCTTGTTGTTCTTGAGTTGTCCTCCTCCAACATGTCTGAACTGATACTTAGTCATGTTTTTAACTATGTGTTTTTTGTGATCCTATATTGAGCAATTTCTAATAATTATAGATTTATAATGCTCATTGTTTCTTGCATATTGACATTCTTTCCCATCGTGAGTGACATCAGATGAAAACGTTTCTTATAATCTTGATCTGCTCTCTAGACTTGGGCTAAAGTTTGTATTCAAGTCAAGCTTTGACAAAGCTAATCGCACTTCCTCCAAATCATTCCGTGGTCCTGGCATGTACGAAGGTTTGAAGGTATAGACAAATATTTCCTTTCACTGTGCAAAGTGCAATTTTTCCACTGAATCATTTCAATTAGGTTGTTATAAACAACAGATCCACGGACAATTTAAAGTAATGTATGCTGTGTATGTGTGCACTTCCATTCAAATCTTTAAGTCTTAGTTTTTCCCTCTTTTTCTGCTGCAGATCCTTGAAAGGGTGAAAACAATTTATGATGTACCCGTGGTGACTGATGTTCATGAAAGCATTCAGGTGACATTTGATTTCTTATTGCAAAATGATGCATATTCCCGTGTGATAAAGTCCTCTTTCCTTATTTGGTTAAAAAATGTGATTTTAATTACTACGCTCATTTATTCCCCCCAAGGGAAAACATGAAAAAAAATGAAAAATGATTCTTTAAAACAACCTGAGTTGAAGCGTGAACCTTATTAAGGGGCTGTGGGAGGGGGATAAGGCTCCATTTGGGATCCATAATTGTCTTATTCTATCAGAATGACTCATAATCAGAGCTTTTGACTTTCTTATTTAGCTTTAGAGAATGTTTGTCTTCATCTTTCTTTCACGCGTCAGACAAAGATCCCTCCCCCTCAAATTTGTTTGACGTTCTATTCAGAATTGAACAACATGCTGGATAAACAAACACTTTTCAACTGCAGGCTCTGGTACCTCTTTTAAGTTTAAAGTCAAAATGTGTTGTTTTCATCATGTCCCGAGTCTAATAGTTACTCATGCAAACAAGATATATGAGATGCTTTGTTATTGCTTTTTTCAGTGTGAAGCAGTGGGGAGGGTTGCTGATATAATTCAAATTCCTGCTTTCTTATGCCGGCAGGTAAGTCTATCAGCTTTAACTCTGGCTTTGGTTATCAAATCTTTACATTTATTTATTTATTTATTTATTTATTTATTTTTATTTATTTATATTTATTTATATTTATTTATTTATTTATTTATTATTTATTTATGTATTTATTTATTAATTAATTCATTAATTTATTTAGTTAACACTATGCAAGATTTGTCTGCATAAGTTACACTACTTGTTTCCTTTTTCCTAAATTGCAGACAGACCTCCTTGTTGCAGCTGCCAACACTGGCAAAATAATCAATATCAAGAAAGGGCAGTTTTGTGCACCATCTGTACGTCATATGCTTAAAATGATTGGGTTTCTTGGAATCCAAAGAAGTCTTGGGTCATGATGTTTTACTTCTTATTTTTCTCGTAAACTTTTCAACTAATAAATGCACCGTGTTTCAAGGTCATGTTAAATTCTGCTGAAAAGGTCAGATTGGCTGGAAACGACAATGTAATGGTTTGCGAGAGAGGCACCATGTTTGGCTATAGTAAGTCAGTTTCAATTTTATGTCTGCATTTTAAAATTATACTTCGTATAATGATAGTGGCACTAAGAATTTGCAGGTAGAGAGAATTTCTGACTCTGATGCGGAGGAATTAAGGATATCTGTTTAACATAAAATGCAGTCTCACATCTCCTATGCCTGTTTTGTTAAAAATGGGGAGAATTAAGATTTTTAGGGTACTCTGGACATGCTATCCAAACATAATTTTATTTTTAATGCATGGTAAACTGAACCTCACAAATGGAAATTTATTGTACCTGAAAATCTATGAAAACAAAATCCACAACTTTGGAGTTACGATAGAAATGGCTTATTCCTATGTAGCCTATTTTCTGCTTCAACCTATGAGTGTAATATTCCTTTTCATTTAAAATTTTAAAAATATATCACTTGTTTATGATGATAATGCAGATGACTTGATAGTTGATCCACGGAACTTAGAATGGATGAGAGAAGCAAATTGTCCAGTGGTAAGAAATTATATACTACTTATGATTCTGAAATTGATTCTTCTGTTCAGTCTATCTGCCTTGTTTCCTAACAGTGTACCAAACTTATATCTGTGTTTAAGGTGGCTGATATAACACATTCTTTGCAACAACCTGCTGGAAAGAAGGTGAGCAGATCATATTTGGTATTGTAAGATTTGGCATTAGTTACAAACCACTTACACCGGCGTTAACAGTTGCAGACTATAGGAATGAAACTAATGCATCTTTAACTTATAAATTGCACTTCCTCCGGCCCATAAAAGTGTTATGTTTTTTAAAGTTCATCTCCCAAAAAACACTCTAAAAGTTAGAACCATAACCCCACTTTTTTTTGGCAAAATAAACCCACTTCTTTTATTTTGAAGGAAAAAAACCAATAGACAGCAAAGGGACCGGATTATCTTTCTCAGTTTCTCGTGCTATATAGTACATAATACAAGCCCCTATTTCTCACATTGATCTTAAACGTTATGAATCTATGGAGCAGTATCATGTTTTGGGTTTGTCATATAGTTGGATGGGGGAGGTGTTGCTAGTGGCGGTCTTCGTGAATTGATTCCTTGCATTGCCAGGACAGCCGTTGCTGTAGGAGTGGATGGGCTTTTTATGGAGGTATGTTATAGTAATTCTAGTTTAGAGAAATGGGTACACGCTTGATTTTTGTTTAACATTACATGTTTTATGCTTGAGAGGTTAAAAGTTAAATAACCCTTCGAGAAATTAAAGCGGTTTTTAATTAATTAATGAGTAAATTCCATAAATAAGACTAAAACAATGGAGAATGCATAGCTAGGACTTCAATGTTTTATAGGACTAAAAATATACCCACTTGACAAAACTATCCTTAATGAAATTCCAGGTGCAATTAAAAACAAAAAAATAGAAAAACAGCAGGACCCAAGTCGATCTGAATCGGCTGTTGATGACACACCCATGGTGCCGCCTCCATCCTCCAGCAAATCACCGTCGTTGCCGCCCTTGAGCTAGGCCGCCACCACCACCCTCCCACGAGCTGCCGCATCCACTCTCCGACGAGACTGCCATCTTGTTAAAAACTGATAAAAAATACTACATATGGCATATCCACATGTGAAAACATTACATTTTCAGATAAAATAAAAGATTTTTTAGCTTAGAATTTGTGTCATTTTCATAAGAATAATGACATTATCATATTAAAACAATGACAATTTAAATTTGAAAATGTAATACGGAGTATATGAGAAGTAGAAAAAAATGAAAGTTCAGTACTAAAATGCCAACTTAATAAAATTAGTGACATAAAATGACACTATTCGTCAAACGGGTAAAAAATATGGCATTCTAAATATTATAATTTCAAAGTAACATTGCCTGATAGATGTGATGCCACAGATGTGGCATTTTTCAAATCCATTTTGGAATGAACCAATAGTTATGGCATTTTCAAATTCGAAATAAATAATAAATAAATACATAAAAATTCAAATTTAAAAATTCTGATCACTGGTCGTTGAAACCTCCCTTTCCCATCCAAAATTTTCAGATCTAAATTAACATTTTTATTTAGAATCTTAAAGTATTTAATACTACCTCCGTCCCAAAAAACTTTGTCATTTCATAAAATTTGAACCAATATTTTGACTAGTATAATATTATGGAAGTTATAGATTTTATACTTATAATAAATAACATTTTCATATAATTTTTATATAATAAATAATTTCCAATAAACATATATAGTTAGTCAAAGTTTTGAAAATGGCAATGTTTTTTGGGACGGAGGTAGTAGAAAATTTAAAAAAATAAAAAGATAAAGAAAATGGAATGATAAGGTCCCTCTTCAAAGCCAAAGAGATATGCTCGTACTAGCATAAGACAGGTGTTTTTGGTAGTTTAGACTACCTATTTTTGATGTTTTTCATTGATATAAATAGCCAAGTACATGAGCAAAAGAACGGAAAGGTGGAGTCATGGACTCCAAAAATGCAGGGAATGGGAAAGTGGAGAACGTTCTCCCTGAAAACCAGGAAGACTTGTTCTCTTATTTACAACTGAAACACAAATAATACTGAAACTTATTTTAAACAAGGTATTTTTTATTCTGCTTACGTGGCCTTGTGGACCGTCTTACTGCCACCTCATCACTCTCATACACCGCTGGCTGCTGCTCCTCATCAATACTCCCCTTCTCCAACAGAACCTTGTCCTCAAGGTTCACAGGAAACTGGGGGAAGCTGGCCAGAAGCTGGTCGTACTCCTCCCATGTAGCTTCTTCCATAGGTAAGTTCTCCCACTTAATTAACACCTCAATCACTTGTCGGGACCCTCGCTGAACTTGCCGAGTGCTGAGGACCTCTTCCGGTCGGAGCAGTAATAACCCATTCTCGCGTAGTGGTGGTAACTCTACTGTCACTGGTGCAGCATCCCCAACTCTTTTCTTTAGCAAGGAGACGTGGAAAACCGGGTGAATGCGTGAACTCTCGGGAAGCTTGAGTCGGTATGCTACCTGGCCAATGCGTTCCTCAACCCGAAAAGGTCCAAAATACCGGTTGGTTAGCTTCTGTGAAGAACGTTTGAAGACTGATTTTTGGCGGTATGGTTGCAAGCGGAGGAACACCCAGTCACCTACTTCAAATTCCTAGTCCCTGCGCTTACGATCTGCCAGTTATTTCATACGGTTGTTGGAAGTCATGAGGTGTTTTTTAGTTCTTCCAACACTTGATCACGCTCCTGCAACTGAACATCGATTTCTTCTACCAAGGAGGACCCGATTTCATACCTGGGAATTGGAGGTGGTGGGCGGCCGTATAATGCTTCAAAAGGTGTCATCCCGGTCGACGCGTGGTACGTGGTATTGTACCAATATTCTGCCCAGGGCAGTAAATCACCCCATTGTGTGGGTCTGTGCTGGACAAAGGAGCGGAGGAATTGTTCGATACACCGGTTAATGACCTCCGTTTGCCCGTCGGTTTGTGGGTGGTATGCTGAAGACATCCGCAGTGTAGTTCCTGAAAGTTTCCATAGCTCTTTCCAGAAATGGCTCAGAAAGATGGGGTCACGATCGCTAAGAATGGACCTTGGAATCCCATGAAGGCGAACAACGCAATCCACAAACCGCTTAGCCACCCGAGATGCGGTATAAGAATGGGTTAGAGGAATGAGATGTGCCGACTTACTCAACCTGTCAACCACCACGAGAATTGTAGTATGATTGTTGGATCGAGGCAGCCCATCCACGAAGTCCATCGACACATCCTCCCAAACCTGATTTGGTATGGGCAATGGTTGTAGCAATCCAGCTGGCGACATTGTTTGAGCCTTCGCTCGTTGACAAGTGTCACACCTGGACACATATTCTGTGACAGTCTTGTGCATAGCCGGCCAATAAAACTGGCGAGATAATCTCTTCATTGTGCGCAGTATTCTAGAGTTAGGAGGTATTACCACACGGTTGTTATAGCATACTAAACCATCCCGCCATGCATAAGGTTTCCCTGGTGCAGCCCTAGCTGCCTCTCCTGCCCGTACCAAATATGGATCGGTTTCTGCCAGTTTTCTCAATTCATCCCATATTGTTGCATGTTGTATGGATATAGAGTTGAGCACAGGGCTATCAGGGACGCGTGATAATGCATTTGCAGCAGCATTAGCTTTTCCCGGCCGGTATATGATCTCATAATCATACCCAACTAATTTTCCCATCCACTTCTGTTGCTCTGGAGTGAGTATTCGTTGTTCGAGCAGGTACCGGAGGCTGCGCTGGTCGGTCTGGATGGTGAATCTGCGACCGAGGAGATATGGTCGCCATGTTCGTATGGCCACGATGATGGCCAGCATCTCACGAGCATATGTGGACCAATTCCACTTTGCCACCCCCAACGTGCGGCTCATAAACGCTACTGGTTTATCATTCTGGGAGAGAATTGCGCCAATGCCTTCTCCTGACGCATCAGTTTGAATCACGAATGGTTGAGAGAAATCTGGAAGGGCTAGAGTTGGAGTTGTGGTCATGGCTTGCTTGAGTGCAGCGAACGCTTGTTCTGCTTCCTTGTCCCAGGTGAATTGCCCCCTACGCAGGCGGTTCGTCAAAGGTCTTGCTATGAGGCCATAATCTTTGACGAATTTACGGTAGTAACCCGTCAATCCCAAGAAACCCCGTAGCTCAGTGATGTTAGTTGGAGCTGGCCAATCCAACATAGCCTTGATCTTTTATTGATCCACCTTTACGCCTTTGTTGGTGATGATGTGACCCAAATACTCCAGCTCCTGTTTACCAAAGGCACATTTCTTGAATTTGATAGACAACTGGTTATGCTGCAGGATTTGGAACACTTCCCGCACATGCATCAAGTATGTCTCCCAATCGGGGCTGTAGATGAGGATGTCATCGAAGAATACTAACACTGATTTACGCAGCAATGGTCTAAAGATTGAGTTCATAAGTGCCTGAAACGTTGAGGGTGCGTTGCACAGTCCAAAGGGCATTACCAAATACTCGTAATGTCCATTATGCGTTCTAAATGCAGTCTTGGCGATGTCTGGCGGATGCATTCGAACCTGATGATAACCTGCCGTAAGATCGAGTTTGGTGAAGTAAGCTGCCCCGTGTAGCTCGTCTAACATATCATCCACCGTGGGAATTGGGAATCGATCTTTAATTGTCGCTGCATTTAGTGCCCGGTAATCAGTGCAAAACCTCCACGAACCATCTTTTTTCTTAACTAATAGCACCGGTGATGAAAAGGGGCTGGAACTTGGGCGAATGATTCCTGAGTTGAGCATATCCACCACTTGTTTCTCAATCTCTTCCTTCTGATAATGTGCGTAGCGGTAGGGCCGAACGTTGATAGGATCAGTGCCCTCCTTGAGTGTAATGTGATGCTCAATCTCGCGGCTAGGGGGGAGACCGTCTGGAATTTGAAATAGTGTCTCAAATTCCTGGATCAAGTCTCTCAGTTGCTCAGCTACTGGCATCAATGGTTCTTCTGCTTCAGCGAGACAGATCGCATAAAGAGTATGTCCCCGACGAGCTTCCCTGATCATGTCATGTGCATCTGTGACCTGAATCATTGCAGCTTTGAGTCCCCGGAACACATGAGTCCGGCATCCCCACTTAAATTGCAGCGTCTGAGCTTTCCAATCACAGGTCACCGGCCCTAAACCTTCCAGCCATTTAACTCCCAGAACCAAGTCTAGAGCCACTAACGGAAGTGCGTGTAAGGTCATTGTGAAAGTAACCTCACCAATCCGTACCTTAACGTCGTCATACCTGCACTCACACCTCATTGGTTCACCATTGGCGACTCGTACCAGGAATGGTGTGGTAGGTGTCTGCTTTAACCGGAGTTGTTGTGCTGCCCTTATACTGATGAAATTGTGGGTTGAGCCGCTGTCCACAAGGGCAACCAGTTTGCGATTACTTATGCCTGCGCGAAGACGAAGAGTTGTAGGAGCATCCCAACCCGTCAAGGCATGTAGTGTGATCTCTGGTGATTGATCAGTTGCCGCTAACAGTTCCTCTTCATGGTTGTCAGAATCTTGTTCGCTCTCCATGACAACTAGCTGTGGCTGCTTGCATTTGTGTCCCGGTGAAAACCGTTCATCGCAACTAAAGCACAGCCCCAAGCTCCGCTTCTTTTAAGCTCCTCCCAACTCAGCCGTCGTGGACCCGGTGTGCGTTTATCACCAAGTGATGATGATTGAACATAATCTGGTGATGAGTTTCCAATTTGAGGCAAGGGTTTGGAATTGTAAGACCGCTGCCCACCCCATTTTCTTTCTTTCTGTAACTGATCGTCTCTTAATCTGGCCAGGTTGATGATCTCCATCAGTGTCTTCGGTTTGAATATTCTAATCCCACTGGAAATAGAAGGGTGAAGTCCACCCATGAACGCCCCCACCAATGCCTTCTCTGACCATCCTTCAACCTTGTTCTGCAGCCTTTCAAATTCTCTTTGATACTCAATTAGCGTCCCTTTTTGGCGGATGTGGCAGAGCGCTTCGTCAAAGTCTTCACCGTCAATTGGGCCAAATCGCGTCCACAGCTCAGCCTCAAATGTTTCCCACGAGATCCGATGGGGGTCGAAACCTCGAGCTCTTGACTTTGCTTGCCACCACGCGTTGGCTTCCTCCGTCAAGTGATAAGAAGCAAAGCTAACCTTCTGATCTTGTGGCATCTCATGATAGGCGAAGTACTGCTTTGCCTTGCTCATCCATTCCTCCGGGTCTCCACCGCTGAATTTTGGGAATTCCAGCTTCACCTGACGGGGATGTCCGTGTGGAGGATTTGTGGTATACACGTGACTTTCCCTGTGCTCTTCCGTCCGGCGATGTCCCCGTGCTGCGCTGGACCCACTTTCGCGGTTGGTCGCCATCAATTCCCTCATTCGGTTCACAACATCTTCTAGATTTCGGTTGAACAAAGTCTCCAAACTCCGGAATTGGTCTCCTATGCCGGTGTTTATTTTCTGAAGCTCATCTTGCACAGTTCCAAGACTCTCCTGCATCAACCCAAGGCCTGCCTCCAAGTCGTCGAGTCTCTCCTTGTTGTTCGGCATGGGCTCGTCTCCCTGGACAACTACCCTTGGCTTGTTTGGTTTCTGTGATTTTCGAGGTGGAATGTTGTGAATTGGGGTGAGTGATACTGAAGAATATTCTTGATGGGCGTTGATTCGTAGGGAATACCGCCAACAAGAACCAAACGGCTCTGATACCAAATTGATAAGGTCCCTCTTCAAAGCCAAAGAGATATGCTCGTACTAGCATAAGACAGGTGTTTTTGGTAGTTTAGACTACCTATTTTTGATGTTTTTCATTGATATAAATAGCCAAGTACATGAGCAAAAGAACGGAAAGGTGGAGTCATGGACTCCAAAAATGCAGGGAATGGGAAAGTGGAGAACGTTCTCCCTGAAAACCAGGAAGACTTGTTCTCTTATTTACAACTGAAACACAAATAATACTGAAACTTATTTTAAACAAGGTATTTTTTATTCTGCTTACGTGGCCTTGTGGACCGTCTTACTGCCACCTCATCACTCTCATACACCGCTGGCTGCTGCTCCTCATCATGGAAGACCAAGAAGAGAAGAAGACGGAGGAGGAGTAGGAGAAGGAGATTGCATGACTTCATCAGATAAATTGCAGAAGAGATGTTTTGGTCGCTGGAGAAATTACAGAAGAGTGGTGGGGTATTTGGCTGTGGTGTCATCAAGCAGCAGCTTTGGTATCAGGAAATCGCAGAGGCATCACTCTGGAGATAATTTTTTTGGGTTTAATTATATGAAGGGTAAAAATGTAAAATGTAGTCATATTTAGGGAATAATAAACTTAAACTCCTATTAATGAACTTTGATAATGTTTTAATCCTATTTAGAGCAATTTCTTTTAATTGATTGGGCGAACAATATATTTGCAAATGTATTATTGATTGAGCGTTCTTATGTCCCTTTTGGCTCCTAAGGTGCATAATGATCCTCTAAATGCTCCAGTAGATGGTCCTACACAGTGGGTAAGTTTTATTAACTCTCCAATTTCGACCCTTTGCCTATCTTTTCCCTTCGGTATATAGTCAACCTAATAAACATTTCTGTTTCTTGTTTAAAATAGCCTCTTCGCCATTTGGAAGAACTGCTGGAAGAGCTAATGGCAATCAGTGTAAGTGTTTTCCGATTTAGAAAGATCTGTGAAGTTTTTCAATGGGCCTGAACATGTTTTATTTCCCCATGATTACTATTGTCTTCTTTCCCCAATTTAATATTTAAAGCCGTTCTTTTTCTATCGTTTGGCAAATTTGAAGGGGGTTAGCAAAGGGAAGAAACCATTCAAACTTGACCTCACCCCATTCCGTGATTAGATTTCTTGATTGTGAGAAGAATCCAAATGCAGAAATATATGGAATATACTTCCATTGGTCTTATAATGCATATCTGCTGCTGCAAGGGAAATAGCTGCAAAGTTTTGATTGTATGAACAATTTAATTTAATAGGTACAATAAAATAATCGCCCTAAATATGAATAAAAATAATGTGATATTCCAAAACAGGACCATGTTTTGTTTAAATTGGAGTCATCATTGTTTTTTGTAAAATATTGCCAATTTTGGCGGCATAATTTGGAAAGTAATCAACTACTCCGTCTACTTAGGCAAAAAATATTTGCCCCTACCGTAGAATATCAAACCGTTTTGTATCCCTATTTCGAGAAATTTCAGCTTTTGTTAATCTAAATGCATTAAGTTTCTTGCTCTAAAGTCTCAATAAAAGTAATTATTGTCATTCTATAAAATATTGTCATATTATCATATTGATATTGTCAAGAATATGACAATATGATTTAATTATTTCATAACAGTAACTGCTTTGCTTTATTTATTATTCATGTATAATTATTTCGTAGACAGAGAATGATATGCAACTTATTTTAAAAATACGCTTTTCATAATATCCCAATACTAATTATAACAAAAGTTCAAATTATTAAAGCTATATTCCAAGATAAGTTTATTATTTTTACCATATTAGTAACACTAATATAATAAAAATGTTTAGTTTAGAAGTTGAATGATTGATTTTTTGGACATATTCAAGAGGAAATAGGCGTATTCAAGTGATATGCCGAAATGCCAAACAATATGAAGAAATAATTGTTCAAGGAAATATTTTACCATTAGCGTATCATCTATCTTCTGGAAACTAACCAAATCAATGTTTGGGAATTTGCAATTCCGCACCCCTCGATAGGGGTGGACCTGGTCCGGCAGTCCGGCTCGGTCCAGAATCGGGTCTGGAAAATCTAGTTCAGGTCTGTGATCGCTTATGGTCCGCCCAAGTATGTTACCCGGTCCCGGTTCATCCATTTGAGGTCCAAATCGGGCGTTCTGGTACCGGTTCCGATCTCAAGCCAGCCACTTTTTTTTTGGCTTGGACATGAGGGAAAACGAAAAAAAATAGATCGGGATTGGGTCCGAACTGGGAGTGAAGAGCTCGGGTACCCGAAATTGGACCAGACCTGGATTTAAACGGGTCGGACCCAGGCTTCTTCTCCCAATGACTAGGACCGGTTTAATAGAATTATTAGAGGCTTAGTATTGTACTTTACATTAAACTCTCTTTAATATAAATATATCTGCCAGATAATTCTAAGCCTCTAATAATTCTATTACGGTCATCGGACCGAAACTGGGATCGGACCGGGATTGGTCATCGGACCGGGACTGGGAATGGACCGGGATCGGGTCCATGAGTCCATCCCTACCCCTTGAAGGAGGATGACGGATAATTGGATACCGATATCACAATTGTGAATTTTGTGGATGCCATTTTAGTTTATTGAAATAATTCTGTAAAATACTAGTAGAATTATAGTCACATTTTGTTATGGATATCTATATTTGAAACACAATTCTCAGTTTTTAGTTTTAAGTTTTTTAAAAATGCTTAAAAGTTAAAACGCACTTTTGAGGATGAGAATGAAAACGTATGTGGGAAGTTTTGGCAAATGTTTGGTGAACCCTATTTACCAAAACATATAAGCTGTTTGAAATAGAAGTAGGAAGAGTTTTTTCATGTTGAATGCATACTTGAATGTTAGCATTAAAAAATGAAACAATATTAAATCAAGAGTAATACTTTAAGATTGAAGCGGCTGAATTGTTGAATCAGTTTAATAGTTAAAAGTTATATGTAAGATAGTATTTTATATTTTTATTAATAAATAATAAACAAACTACATGAAAACATAGCTTAAAATAGTTATTTTCATAATTTCAAGCAACTCAACGAGAAAAAGAATTCTAACCTTACATAATTGATTATTATATAATTCAATGTGCAAATTAAAAAAGGACAATTTGAAAATAATAGTCCCCACTAATGTTGATCCGTTCACAATAATCTCAATTATTGATAATATATAATCCCAATTATATGACTTGTATGGCAATAATGGTCAATGAGCGGGGTATGACCTGTTATAGCAAGTCGCTATTAAATAGAACTATGCTCATTATATAAATAATCAAAACTACAATTGCTCTTCTTTTATTAATCCCAATTATCAACTATTTTTTTGATAAAACATAAAAAATGTTATAAAATATTCAAAATGTTAAAGTTATTCGATAATTTAATAGGATGATTAGCTTTTATTTTTTAATATTTAGAAAAAAATATTCTTTTATTATTTGCACTTTCTTAGTTTTAAAACTGTTGGTATTCATTTTTTAACTTTGAATTTGTACTTAATTTGGACTTTCATTTTTCCTTTAAAATTTTTATATTGGCCATTTACTCTCTATATTTATATATTTTATATTCTTTATAAATTCATAATATCTTACATATTATAAAATTTTCATTTTGAAAGTTTTATAAGTTTTTCCAACTTTTATATTCTTTAATTTCATAAACTACATAAAAAGCTAATTATAGTAAAAAGATATATATATGATCAATTTTTACCATTTTCTATTTATTTATAGAAATATTCATTTAATTTTTAGGGTCTAATAAAAGTCAACAAATCATAGTCCAGATTATTACACTCAGATACTTCTTTTGTAATTGGCTAAATAGGTAACTGGTCATGTGAGACCATTATTATCAGAAGGTTAGTAAAGTTAGGATTACTCTAAAATACGCTTATTAAGAAAGTGGAATAAAGTGGAATAAAGTGGAAATGTATGGTTGTGGTTGTGTAAGAAAAAGGTAAAATGAATGTAAGCCACACAAATTGTCCAAAATGAGAAAGTGGGAAGTATTTTTGGGAACAGCCCAAAAAGGAAAGTGGGAAGTATTTTTGGGAACGGAAGAAGTACTTGGAATTATTATAAACAAATCAGTAATAGTTGGAATTATTGTTATCAATTTTTTTAATAAAAAATTACGTGGTTGAAGAGGTGCTCCGATGACTTACATAATGAGATGTGAGATTGTGAGGGGATATAATTGTCAATTTAAGAAAGTAACGGAGTAAACCATAAAAAGTGCTAACAAAATAACTTTATACACCCCGCTCTAATATACTACCTCCGTCCCTCTAAGTTTGGGACAAAGGGCTATGGTGTGGTTTTTAAGAAAAAGTTGAATTGTGTGGTTTGTATTGAATTGATAAAGTGTGAATAAAGTAAGAATAAATTCTAACCACTCAAATATTACCAAATATGGTACGGAGTATGAGACAAACTTAACGGGACAGACGAAAAAGATAAAATGGGACAAAATTAGGGGGACAGAGAGAGTACCAAGTAACTTGCAACTTTGGCGTTTTGTGGAGTTTAAGGTTGGTAAATATAAGGTTTAACTCTATCCGTATATTTAAAATATCAAGTTATTTTTTAAAAAATTTGGATTGCGGCCGTCTCCCTTTAGTAGGGTTTGGTGAGTTCCGTGGCATCCGAAACGTTTTTATTCGACGTTCGTGTTGTTGAAGATGGAGCCTTGTTTGTGCAGCAGCAGTAGATGCCCGACCGGGTGGGGTTAGTCACCCGACCGGGTATGATGTGAATTTGGCCGGGCAACTCTCTGGATTGGGAAACCCGATCGGGTAAGGAGGTTTACCCGACCGGGTCCGTGGAAGGTTTTGGCTTCTGTTTAGCATACCCGACCTGGTGTCTACCCGGGTATGCCTTTTGAGACGACACCCGACCGGGTCAAGAAGGGGACCCGACCGGGCCAGTGGAGTTTCTACCTTTCTGCTTTGGTTACCCGCCCTGGTCTCAACCCGGGCATGCTTGCTGAGGAGTTACCCGACCGGGTCAAATAGGAGACCCGACCGGGTCTAAGGGTTAATTTTAATTACGGGCTTAATTTTTGGGCCTGCGGCTCTAATCTTTGTTTAGGTTTTCTTAAACCTATTTAAGCATATCTTGTACGTTGTAATACCCCTTGACGCAGATCTAATAATAAAACAGCTCTCTCTCGTTCGCCGTGGACTAGCACAATCACCCCGATTGTGTGAACCACGTAAAATTCTTGTGTTCTTGCTCGTTAATTTATCGTTTTATTAACCTAAAACGTAACATGTGTGGCAGCTGAAGTTGAGGGGAGCAGGGCTTTGTCAAAGAAACCAGAAATAATAGGTTAGGCCCTAACATTTCCCGATTTTATCAAAGATGGCTAAGCAAGTGCTAGCAATGCCGAAATCAACAGTTGCCGTGGAACAAGAATTTAGTGCGGCCGACAACGTGCTAACGGATTATAGAACGAGATTGAGCGCGAACTCTCTTGAGACGCTTGTTTGCTTCCACGATTGGTTGAAGGCGAAACATAAAACTCAAGAAGTGTGCATCGCCCTCACCCGCCACTTTATGGAGGAAACAACAGAAGATGGCGAAGATTCTGATTGATTATATTTATTAGAAAATGTATTTCATGTTTTAAATTCTTGAATTAATTTGTTAAAAAAAATACCCGGTTCGGCGCGACCCGGCCTGACATATACCCGACCCGCTACCAGCTACCCGGCCGGGTAACCCGACCCGAACCGAACCTGGTAGGTACCCGGACCAATTCCGGGTCTCACTTCCCCACAAAAAAGCCCGATCGGGCCCGGTCCGGACGGGCCCGAGTCCATCCCTATTCCCTAGGTTAGGGAGGCCGCTAACTTATAGAATTTGTGTTGTGGGAATCAAATAACACCAGTAAAATTTAATATGTTGTTTACTGTCCATAAATATTTATCCACAGGTATATATATCACAATTTTTTGGAGGGATTTGGTGAGGCCCCTTCCAGCCCCCTGTCTCTACCTCTGCGTGTACAAATAATTCAAAAATGCTACTTGTCCACATCAGTGTACACGTCATTTACATGATTGATTTTCATTTGTAAAGGGAACTGTCTATTCACACACAATTTACTTTTTCGGTGTCCCAAATAATTTCTTTTAATAAAATAAAAAGGTAGATTCTATGGTACCCATAAGGTATTATACCTTTGTCCACATGGACTAATAAGAATGATGTAGTTGAATTATTTAAATCTAAATTAAAAATGATGTAATGATTTGAACCAATCAAGTGAGTGGTAGGTACGGTACCCCATTTTTTAAATGGGTATGGAGTTGTCACCAAATAAAAATTGTTTTTCTATGTAGACAAAATACATTTGATATGTAGAAGGACGTGTAAGCTAGCTAACGTGTACAACAAACAATTTTGCAAATAATTTTGTTAGTTGTACACTTGTACATAAGTACTTATTAGCCGTAAAGTACTTTCTTCTTCCAAGTTTTTAACCCCAAGCAGGCGTCCCATCCATTTGTGCGGCTTCTTTCCGGACGGATAAACAATACGGAGAACTCATTTCAAAAACGTATATATACAACGGCTACTTCCATTCAAACCGCCTTCGCACCCTCTCTGAAATTTCCTGCAAGAAAAGAGGCGACTTTCTCCGCGGCGACACCCAATTCCATTGTGACTTTTCAATCACTGCGCTCTTTTAAGATCAAGATTCTCTCTTTCGCTCTCTGGGGTCTGTCAGAGAAGAAGAATAGAGATGTTGGTTAACGAGAAGCCGCCGGCGACCCATAAGGTGTTCTATACGCCGCCGCCCAAACGGATTAGTGCTCCGTTTCCCTCTCCGGCGTCGCAGAGGAGGCCGTCTTGTCCCCACAGCGCCGGTAAAGACCTCTTTCACGTCATTCACAAAGTCCCCGCCGGAGACTCCCCCTATGTCAGGGCTAAACATGTTCAGGTAAAGTCCTTTTCTTTACCTTTCTTTGTTGACTCCTTTGGTCGATTTCTGAAACATGGTATATTAAATTAGTATTCTATCAGGATATTAAGTTCTTTCTGATGAAACCCATGACAGTTAATCGAAAAGGACCCAAGCAGAGCGGTTTCCCTGTTCTGGGCAGCTATAAACTCTGGGGATAGAGTTGAAAGTGCCCTGAAAGACATGGCAGTTGTGATGAAGCAGCTGAACCGGACAGATGAGGCCATTGAAGCAATTAAGTCTTTTCGCCATCTCAGCCCTCCAGAGTCCCAAGAATCGATTGACAATATCTTGGTAGAACTGTACAAGGTAAGACTGATCAAGAACACCCTTTTCTTGAAATTCCTCCTGTACTCTTGGTAAATGTAGGAGATGGTAAAATTGTTAAGTGTGGGGTATCACCTATTCACCTGACAGTGTCTGTCTTCTTTTCTTTTCTCTCTGTTTTATTTATTTATAAATTGTGTACATTTTTATTTGCAGAGATCAGGTAGAATTGAAGATGAAATAGGACTGATTGAACTTAAACTTAAGAAGGTTGAAGAGGGAATGGATTTTGGTGGGAAGAAAACCAAGACTGCTAGATCTCAAGGCAAACGGATTGAGATCACCCTTGACAAGGAGTACTCTAGGTATTTGTATACGTAGTATATATTATATCAAATTCAGTTTATAATGATTGTTTATGTTTCTTCATTGGTATTTTAGGTATTGGTATTAATATGTATCTGCATTGGAATTTTGATATTTCTATCTATTCTACTCTGTACTCAGTATATAAAATTTTTCTTTTAGTAATAATGTAATACTACGTATGTTTCTTCATTGGTATTTAGGTCTATCAGTCCATGTATATATATGTTTCTGCATGAGTACATTTCCAGTTTTCTACTTTTCTTCTCTAATCAACCAACCAAATATATGTAACTGCTTTTTTTAAAAATGCAGGCTGCTTGGTAACTTGGCATGGGCTCACATGCAACTGAAGAACTACAAATCTGCAGCAGAGAATTACAGGTATGATTATATATATGTATATGCATTCAGATGAATGGAGTTTTCTATCACTGCAATCTGTAGAGATAAAGCTCTTCCCTAGACCCTAGAGTCAGTTAGGAATGATGTAAACCATATTATGCAAACAAATCATTAATCTATAACTACTTTTATCTCAGGTCAGTCAAAGTTATTTTAACTATGAAAGTTTTAAAATGTTTATGAAAATTAATTACATAGGATGATAGGAAAAATATACTCCGCATTTGGAATTATATTAATATACTGTATTAAATATACTACTCCTTCCATCCCAATTTGATATGACTTTTCTAAGTCAAACTTTATTAACTTTAGCATTATTTTGTCATAACTGTACTATTTTATAATATGAAGGTGTTGTTGATCAATTTGTTTGTGTATTTCCAAATATGAAACTATTATACCTTTTAGTAATATACTAATGTACACTCGTGTATAGTAATGGACTAATGGCGAAAATATGAATTATGAAGACTGGAGTAAGAATGAGACCTTTATATTACTGGAACTGTTTACTATTGTGTTTACCACATTTGAATCAAGCTAATTATTAAAATATTCACTAAAAGAATGATCACAAACACCTCCATGAAATAGATGTAACATCATTACACTTCCCTCACAAATATTTTAGACGTATGCAGAGTCTTTTAATTAATACTGTATTGCATTATAAGGAGTATTTAAATTGTGCACATGTGAGTTTATGAGAGAGTTTAGAATGGAAAGTTAGCAATCAAAAAAAGTGAGAAATTGTTGCTATGTGGATGCAGGAAAGCTCTATCTATTGAGCTAGACAGGAATAAGCAGTGCAACCTTGCAATATGTTTGATGCACATGAACAATATTGCAGAAGCTAAGTTTCTGCTTCAATCCATAAGAGCTTCCCCAGATTCCAAGAGTGAGTCGTGCCAGAAATCCCTTGAACACGCCACACAAACTCTTTCCGAGTTAGAGAAAACATCAGGCAGCACTTCTTGCTGGAGGGGAAGAAACCATGGTGGCAGTCCTGTAGTGCCACAACCCTTTACACAACCAAGAAGATCCAGTAGAAAGCTGTATTTTGAGAATGGCAGCTTCCTGAAAACTCAACCACCACCACCACCACCTACCACATTCCCCAAGAGTTGGAGAAGAGACACTATAGAGAACGTCACAAAATCGACGGAGCCAACAACTTCTGTCTTCTCATGTTCAAGAATTTCATCATGTGACAGCAAAGTGGACCAAGATGATCAGAATTATCTCTCCTTTACCGTGTGCAGCGAGAAACACTATAGTGGACCCCCACCACCTACCACATTCCCCAAGAGTTGGAGAAGAGACACTATAGAGAACAACATGAAATCAATGGAGCCGACAACTTCTGTCTTCTCATGTTCAAGAATTTCATCACGTGACAGCATAGTGGACCAAGATGAGCAGAATTATCTCTCCTTCCCTGTGTGCAGCGAGAAACATCCTGTCGATTCATCATGTCAAAGAAAGAAAAGCTGGGCTGATATAGTTGAAGAAGAGCAAGAAGAAGAGGAGGAGGAAGAGCCAAAAGACATAACTTTTGAGACACCATGCAAGAAGTTCAATGATGAAAATTATAATTATTCCAATATAATCAAGAACCACCAGGACAAAGAAGAAGATGGGGAGGATGGGGAAGAGGATGATATATTACAGCAAAGAGTTGAAACACTTGATGTTAATGGTGGATACCATACTCAACCTGAAGAACACCCCCATACTCAACCTGAAGAACACCCTGAGTGCTTCTATGATTCTACCACTAATGTTACTGGTGCTTGTGCTTCATCATCTTCATTATTGCATGGCCAGTTGAACTTTGGTACGTTTAATACGTTGGTGAGCCCACAGGAGTTCGATTTAGCGGTCCAGACTCCTCTTAGACGTCTAAAGCGAAGGATCAACAACCGGCTGCAAGTCTTCCGGGATTTAACTCCTGAGTGATACCCCCCCCCCCCCCCCCCCCCCCTCCATGGTTTTCTTGAATGGTTTGTCATCAGTCACTTGTGTGCATATGATAAGGCATAGTTGTGAATATGGATTTTATAAATATTTCATTTTTTAGCTCCTGAGTGATATTGTACTATTACATCTGTATATATTGCTACGAGAATAGCCGAAAAGAAAGTATGACAGTCAGTCACTAAGTCAGTTTTGTTTGTAGACTGATGTCTCCACAATTCACACACATGAGTAAAACTGTGGTATTATCGTGAGAACTGAGAAGGGTATGAAATGATTTAAGCTACCGTAAAATCACTCTACATTCCCTTCTCAAGTGAGTGAGAGTGGCTTCCACAGTTCCATACCATATCAGAAGTTTTTTTTGTCGAATGAAATCATTTTTCTGAACTATTCTTCAACTCTCAGCTCTCTGCACCCATCTTTTTACTTCGAGAATAAATGCATATGGTATAAATTTATTAAACTAATTTTTACGGATAATTATATATTCACCATTAAGTTTTATGGACACTAATATAAAACCAATGTTTTCATTTTTTTAAATGATCGAATAAACAAATCTTGTTATACAAAGAGGAGAATCTATTTTAGGGCTTTGGTGAGTTGAAGATCAGGGCAAAGTAAAAAAAATACTCCCTCCGTCCCTTAAAACTTTGACATCTTTCATTTTTGGAACGTCCCAAAAAACTTTGACCTCTGTTATTTCTCTCTTCTCTCTACACAGACCTCAAACACACAGTTTTTACTTTATTATTTTTTCCGTGCCGATCAACTTTGGAAAAGTTTTAAGGGACAGAGGTAATATTTATTAAAAAGTACTACGTATTATTTTCAAAATCTGGCTATACTGTTGCAAATTTGAAATATTATTTTTCAAAAATTTCCATCCAACCCACCCCAAATTTGGCTATAGCCCAATCCAATTTTTCAGTCCCGTCCATAAAACAAAATCTTACCATCTAAAAAACTAATTTAAATGTTATACCCATCGCCTCCCACTTAATAAATGGCATTTAGTATATACGTATAAGGGCCATAAAGCCCATAAGGCATAAATGTAACCCGTTGGTAACACTGAAATTCATTGAATCGACTCGTAAGGATAAACGCTGTAAAGGATCTTGTAGACCATGTGTTTGATCTTGGCCACAACATCTTCCTCGGTCTTCATAATATCATCAAAGCGGCAAGCGATCCTTGCATTCCATATCGAGTAAATAGTAGCACAATTCAGCGCACAAAATAAAAATAACATATTTGGTGAAAAAGTTAGTTGATAAGCCTGATAAGCCGAAAAGGGGCCACCAAACGGACTCGTAATAAACACAATAAAGTATGATTGAATTAAGGACTTGATTGGCATGTTCACCCCAACTTTTAAAGTGCTTGAGTATCTTCAGGAACATTGTCCAAAAGAGAGTTCTCAGGTAGAAGTTCGTAGTGTATGTAGTCAGTTTCCATGTTTTGAATTTGTGTTCAATTTATTTTTGATGCACAAAGCTATGAGAATAACGAGTATTATTCGTCAAGACCTATGTGTTAAAGAACATTGCCCAAAAGATCGAGTTCATATGTCATGATGGGCAGAGTGATTCACTTTGCATTGATGTTATAACGTGTAGAATGATCATTTTCTGCCGTGAAACTTGTAAAGACAACACTCTGCAACAAAATGAGTGATACTTTCTTGCTGATTGCATGACACATTATATTAAAAAAGACCTTACTCTTCTTAGTGTAGATGTAGACTCTATTATTGACGAGTTTTTTTGATTCAAAGCCATGTCGAGAACAAATTTAGTAAAGAACACTTATATTTGATTTTTTGCTAATTTTGATAATTTTCAATGTATTATCAATTAAGTTTTCCAGTCCGCCCCAACATGAAATATTGGATCCGCCCCTATGTCAGACACACTAGTGGAAATTAATAGGGGCATTTACTGTCGGTTAAAATGGGCTTTTAGTGTTGGTGCAGTACCCGACTTTATATCCATAAATACTAAAAGCTGAGTCTATTCGTGTCGGGTCTCGGAACCGTTACTAAATGTTAGCCTATAAAAAAAGCCGGGTAGGAACCTTACTAATAACAATTCGTGTCAATTACATGAGAATCCTCTCCTTAATAGCACTACAACACCAAAAACCAAAATCCCGCCCAAACCATTCTCATATTACATCCGTCCGATTTACACCTAAAAATCAACGTCTGATGATCATTTTCGTCAAATTACACATTTGCACTAAAACCCAATCATTTTCTCTTTCGCCTAAATAAGTTCATGAAATCCTGGGAACTCTTTGTAGGCACCTCGACCGCAGCTTCCAATCCAACTGATTAATTCATTCTTCTTCCTTCTATGGGGGTGTTTGGATCTAATTCTTAAAACTGCTTCTGCTCCTTCAGGGAGCAGAAGCAGAAGTTAGAGTGTTTGGGTGAAAATGCAGAAGTGATTCTGGTGCTCTAATTTACTCCTAGAATCAGTTTTTTAGAAGCTGGGGGGTAGCAGCTTCTGAAAACTGATTCTGATTCTGCTTCTGCTTCTGCTTTAAAAAAAGAAGCAGAAGCAGAATCAGTTCCAAACACCCCCTATGTCTTTCAACTATCCATGTCATCCATGTCTTTCACGAACCAGGTAAACAAATTTTATTTTTCAATTTTCATTTTTTTTGCAATTGTACACCGTCAATTAGCCCTTGATTCTTTTCTTGATCACCTACCTTCTCCATTGTAACTTTTAGCATCAGTGAAAATGGCCGACAACAAAGTGCATTTCAGATCTGCCATACATTCACTCTATCAGATTTTCAATCCAAACTTCTTGTACGACATTCTTCTTGAATGATAATCGTTTATTACTAGCATCTACCCTTCATATTTTCTTGATGATGAAATTGTCTAGCCCTTTATTTTGATTGCTACATAGGTTTTATTCGAACACTCCAAAGGATTTTTTTCTTCAAATTTCTCACATCAACGAGGTCATTCTAATTCCACCTTGTAAGTCTTTCAATTTCCTTCAAATCTTATATTTAATCGCCTATAGTTTCAAATTCTATTTAATTACTGAATCAACATGGCGAAACTGGCTCATTTGCTCTATCTCCATGAGCCATGAGAATGAAATGATATATTGCACTTATGCATATTTTGACTTGTGCTATTTGAGAATTAATTCTGGTTGTAAATGTTTTGATCGCAATGTGCTTAAATTCCTAAGACCGTAGAATCCTGTATACCTAAAAGCAAAATCCAGCTTCCAACCCATTTCCTGCTTCTCTCCCCTCCCATTTACTTCACCATTTAATTGATGGACTGTTACATGCGTTTCAATTCTTTAGATCCGATCTCTCTACTAGGAAAAAATTCATTTACAACTCATCATCTCCTGCATCTTCAGCCGCATAGCATCGCCGCACTCCTCCGCACAACGTCACCCCACGAAATCCCTGATCGAACATCACTTCCCTAAGGAGAGATTTGCCATTCAAATTGCTCTTCTTATAAATAAGGTATTTTTCCTCCCAATTAAAGCTTCTACTTGGATAAGAAGTCTTTTTAATCATCTACTCCTGTATAAATTCTACCAACTCTTTTATTATTTCCAATTGAATAAAACTATAGCAATTAGATTTTCATCTCATAGAATTTGGAACTGGCAATCAACCCTTCAAAGTTGGTTTATTTACAAAGGTATTTGAACCCTCATTTTTGTTAGAAAACGATTTTACTATGAAAACAACACTACCTACACCTGCATTTGTTGGCATGTAGATGTATATTTAGTATCACATCATTTTTGTTAGCAAATGATTTTACTAAGAAAATATCATTACCTACATGTGAATTTGTTGACCTGTAGCTGCATTTTGGTTGAGACTATTTAGACATGTTAATAACTAAAAAAGTTATTTCGCACATATGTTGTTTGATGAAATGCTTGGATGATCTTGAAAAACAGTTTTTAAGAAGAGGAAGTGCAATATCTCTTCTTAAATTCAATGTTCTTATGCATGATGTCCAACAGAATGTTTAGATATCTTTTCAGGAAATAAGGAAATTATAGCACTACAACGCCAAAAACCAAAATCCCGCCCAAACCATTTTCATATTACATCCGTCCGATTTACACCTAAAAATCAACGTCTGATGATCATTTTGGTGAAATTACACATTTGCACTAAAACCCAGTCATTTTCTCTTTCGCTTAAATAAGTTCATGAAATCCTCGGAACTCTTTGTAGGCACCTCGACCGCAACTTCCAATCCAACTGATTAATTCATTCTTCTTCCTTCTATGTCATTCACCTATCCATGCCGTCCATGTCTTTCACGAACCAAGTAAACAAATTTTATTTTTCAATTTTCATTTTTTTTTGCAATTGTATACCGTCAATTAGCCCTTGCTTCTTTTCTTTTCTTTATCACTTACCTTCTCCATCGTAACTTTTAGCATCAGCGAAAATGGCCGACGACAAAGTGCATTTCAGATCCGCCATGACATTCACTCTGTCAGATTTTCTATCCAAACTTCTTGTACGACATTCTTCTTGGATGATAATCGTTTATTACTAGCATCTACCCTTCATATTTTCTTGATGATGAAATTGTCTAGCCCTTTATTTTGATTGCTACATAGTTTTTATTCGAACACTCCAAAGGATTTTTTTCTTCAAATTGCTCACATCAACGAGGTCATTCTAATTCCACCTTGTAAGTCTTTCAATTTCCTTCTTTTTTTTTGCCAAGTCAACTATTTAAATTCTATTTAGATTGAATTTCCACAATTCACATCACTAGTGGAATTAGTGAAAATATCAAATTAGGAAAGCATTCTAGATTTAATTAATAACATGCCACTATTAATTAAATACAACATTATGGAAACTACTCCGTATCTGTTAATGTTTCTACAGAACCTCTTTCATCAGACTTTGTGTTAGTGCTTTAGGAAGCCCCATGACACTATCAATTGCTCCCGCCACTTGATGAACATAAGGCTGGAGTAAGGGATGTTCAATCAGCAGGCCACCGGCTACATAAAGCAGTACCCCTTCCTCAATCAGCTTATCCATGACATCTTCTGGTATTTCATGGAAATAAATCTCTACTTTATCCCACTTTCCGCTTTTAACCCCTGTTTTCAAGTTTGTAACCAGAACAGAACTTACAGTTGCTGCCCTTCCATTTGTGTAATCTTCAATGAAGTGCCGGGCTTCTTGTTTGCTGGTCTGTTTCTCCCTGATCATACCCTTATAGACCACCACTTGGTCACATGTAATCAGAAGTGTTGGAGCTTCTCAATAATAATTATTTGGGCTTATTCTTATTGGGTTTCTAAACTGTACTGGACTGATTATATTTTTAGTCTGTTATAACCTATTAGCCCTTTAGTATAAATAGGCTTCTTTAACCTACGGTAATGGACAATTAACTTTTCTTCTTCTTCGTTTAATCAAACTTCTTCCTCTCTGCAATTCGTTTCAACTTCTACATGGTATCAGACTAAGGTCTTGATCGATCCTGATTCAATCTTCTTCTCTAATCGATTCCTCACAATCGATTTCATCCTTCTTAATCGATTTCTATAATCGATCTCTTCCTATTCCTTTTATTCAATCATCTGCAAAACCCTAACTACTATGGCTTCACCGCTAAATCCGACGGAAGACTCCTCATCACGGTACCATCTTCATCCTAGCGATCACGCTGGGCTTCGAGTCATCTACGAAACACTCACAGGCGATAACTTTGGTGCATGGAAGAAATCTGTTTCCATGACTATGGCGGTGAAGAACAAGATGGGATTTCTCGACGGTTCAATCACAAAACCAAGTCCAGATACTCCTATGTACATCAACTTCTACAGAGCTGCATCTTCCTTCTTGTATTTACTAATGGGGAGTCTTGATATTATGGCATCAGCCTTTGCCTCAGCAAGGGCAATAACTAAATCTTCAGGATTCTCTTTACGAATAGCTCTCTCATCTATGTCTGCACTCATGGTGGCGAATTCATATCCCATTTCGGTTAAAACTTCTCTGCGTGGGACAGAAGCGGAACCCAGAATTATCTTTAATGGGGGATTAATATTTGCTTCCATTTTGAGTCAAGAGATTTCCCGACTATGTCCCAGTCACCGGCGAAGCACCTTTTTGCACTTCGCTACTTTCCCTCGTATAATAGGTCGCCAATCGTCTTTCAATTTCCTTCAAATCTTATATTTAATCGCCTATATTTTCAAATTCTTTTTAATTACTGAATCAACATGGAAAAACTAGCTCAATTGTTCTATCTCCATGAGCCATGAGAATGAAATGATATATTGCACTTATGCATATTTTGACTTGTGCTATTTGAGAAGTAATTCTGGATGTAAATGTTTTGATTGCAATGTGCTTAAATTCCTAAGACCTTAGAATCCTGTATACCTAAAAGCAAAATCGAGCTTCCAACCCATTTCCCGCTTCTCTCCCCTCCCATTCACTTCACCATTTAATTGATGGACTCTTACATGCATTTTAATTCTCTAGATTCGATCTCTCTACTAGGAAAAAATTCAGTTACGACTCATCATCTCCTGCATCTTCAGCCGCACAGCATCGCCGCACTCCTCCGCACAGCATCACCTCACGACATCCCTGATCGAACATCACCTCCCTAAGGAGAGATTTGCTATTCAAATTGATCTTCTTATAAATAAGGTATTTTTCCTCCCAATTAAAGCTTCTACTTGGATAAGAAGTCTTTTTCATCATCTACTCCTGTATAAATTCTTCCAATTCTTTTATTATTTCCAATTGAATAAAACTATAGCAATTAGAGTTTCATCTCATAGAATTTGGAATTGGCAATCAGTCCTTCAAAGTTAGTTTATTTACAAATGTATTTGAACCCTCATTTTTGTTAGAAAACGATTTTACTATGAAAATAAGACTACCTACACGTGCATTTGTTGGCATGTAGATGTTTATTCAGTATCACATCATTTTTGTTAGCAAACGATTTTACTAAGAAAATATGACCGGGCTAAACTTGCAAGTGTACAAGTGCCGATATAGTAATAAATTCCGGTAAAATACATGGTCGAATCCACAAAGGAAACATTGTTTAATTCAAGTCCGAGAGTAGATAGCTTTAAATGAAGGAATGAGTAAAATGCAGGGATTTTGATTTGTGTTTTATATTTTTGATTTTTCACTTTTTGTTTACGAAGATAAGTGTTAACTAATTTGTGAGTTTAAGATGAATGATAACAACAACTAAGGTTTCGGGAATAACTTAAATGCTTTAATAGGGTTGAATATTAGTTCTTTGCCAATAATTATGAATACGATGTCGCTAATATATTCTCAACTCCGGTTAAGGCAGCGAGAGCGTGGTTTTCGTTACGTGTAAGTCCCGTTACGGCTTACATTCATCTACCGAAAACCCCGTTGAATATCAAAACTTCACACCCGTATCATATAAGACCAGATATATTTCTATTCCCGGTACTATATATGTTTATCCTTTATTCCCTTTAATGTTCCTAGTTTCGACTTCAACGTTAATTGCAAGTATAAACTAAATTTAACATACTTCTATGGTGTACACCATAGTCATAAACAATCAATATATAAAGGATAAATCACAATTTATTGGTTTAGAACTTTTATCAAACAGCTAGTGAGCATAGAAGTTCATCCCTAGCCTTAGCTAAGAATTTAGCCTCTAATGCTCATATTAATCACAATACAATAATAAATGTAATGGAACATGAAATTACAAAGGAATTAATACCTAAACACCAATGATTTTGGAGGATGAACTTCCCTTCTCAAGAACTTAAAGAAAATACCAAGAACAAAAATATAAAAGCTAATAATTAATCTATGGAATGGAATGTGTTTGTATGAATAATTGAGGGCTTTATATAGGCTAAATAATGACATCTTTTAGTCTATTAGAGCCCAACAATCAGGTATGGAGCAATATTTGATCAAGAAATAAGGAAGATGGAGTTTTCTCATCAAGAATCCTCTTGCACGTTGATGTGTTTTAGCTGAATCCGACCAACCCGGCGCCGGTTTCAGGCCTATCCGGCGCCGGTTATGTGTAATTCGCAGCAGTTACCTGGAAATTAGGGGTACCCAGCGCCGGTTATCTGGCCTACCCGGCGCCGGGTTGGCTACTACCTCGCGTACTTGTGTTGAAAATCAAAAGACCGGCGCCGGTTTCGTGAAATTCCGGTGCCGTTTTTGTCCTGGGATTTTGGGGATGTTCTGCTACGAGTTTGACATGATTTCTTCACCAAAGTTATATATAATGAAGTATTCTATCCATCAGAACTTGAATAACGTGATTTTATGCATTCAATCAAAAGATATGGATAAAACACTGAGAGGTATGCATCCTAAAATCCCACCAGCAACATCTGACTTTATTGGTTGATTGAGTCTTGATCTTTTCACATTCGGGTCATGACGTCTTCATAACATTTGTACCTTATTGAGTTAACATTCACATGAAATTAGAATCGAGTGATTTTGAATTCTCTACAATAAGTTATACTTGAATTATGGGCAGAACGTCATCCTCTTGGTCCAAAATGCTCTTCATCACAATGTTTTATACTCTAGCTCTCATTCTGGAGGTATTTGCCCGATTACTCTTCCTTTCTTCAACAAATACTTATAAATACTTATGTTAAACACAAGTAAATATAACGGCTATCAAACCCCCCACACTTGAGCGTTGCTAGTCCTCGAGCAATGTTATACCTTTGGATGCCTTGGTTAGTTTCAACAAAAATATATGAACAAGACTAATTTTAATTTTAAGAGAGGTAATAAATTATGTAAACTCTTTTATCATTCTCGGTCCAAAAACAAATTTCTGTTAGACACACAAAACTATCATTAGATTTAGAAAAATTACTTATACCATTGAGAATAGATGAGTGGATTGTGACTAGGTCTTTTTGGGTGTGTAGGATGGCTTTTTGGTATGTTTTACTTTTCAGTATAGAAGTGGATCAGTTTAAATTCTTGAAAGAGATCATGAGTTTTTTTTATAACTCATTTGAATTGGTTCTCAACAAGCATTTACTGAAAGTCATTTTGATCATCCCAATTTATTTGATGAGATATGGGGATGGCTTGTTTTCCAAAATGGTTATTGAATATTTGAGATGTACTTAAATTATTTTTGGAAATGAAAGAAGATGGTGTTTCCTAGTCACAAGGTTTATTTTGGGGATGATTTTCAAGAGTAAAGAGTAATGTAATAAATCTAAAAAAATGATAATTTTTTTTGGGAATAATCAAAACTTTCTCAACCAAATACCCATTAAAAAGAGGATTATCACAACTTTTACCTTTCTAAAAAAATTATTTTGTACACAAAATTTGTTGAACTAACCATGAGATGCACCCCCCACACTTGAGATACATTGTCCTCAATGTAGGTTGGAGAACATAATGAAAGATGAAATCCTCGATCGATAGTGGAACGAGGTGTTCTTGAGAGTAGGAAATCCATGATACCTGAGCTGAGATGATGATTTTTTTTTTTTGAATTTTTTTTGATTTTTTTTTGTTTTTTTTTGATTTTTTTGTTGGGATGCCTCCCAATTAGCGCTTAGTTTAACGTCATAGGCCGGACAAACATACCTCTTTTGTGCAGCTGAATTCCCGGAGGTGTTTAGCTAGTAGGACCTCTCTTTTAAAATCTTGCGGGGGAGGAGAGGATGTTGAGCTATTATTTTCAATATTGAGAAGAATATCACCTGGGTCAAAAATGTACCTTTTTGGCGTATCCTGATTATGTCTTCCTTTCTTGTTAGCGTATCCTTCTTGAATGAGAAAGAGGTCTCTTCTACCATTTGGAGGCGTGAGAACATTGGCTTCCGCCGTCAACAAATTTTCTAGAGTGGGTTGTACTCTCCACACATGAAATATGTCATCTTTATCTCCCACAAATAGCTTTCTAGTTGCGTCGTGTACATCAATCATGTCTGGGGTTTTCTTGCTCTCTGGAACTTTGGGATCCTCCTTTCCTCTTCTGCTTTCTGTTGTGATGACCATGGCACATCCTGCTATAGTAACTTGTTGAGAAAGTTGGTTAATCTGCAATTGTAGACTGTGGAAGGAGCTTTTGGTATCTCGCTCGAGGTTGTCCATCCTTTGATTAAGAATTGTGTTTTGATCTTCAATTCGGATGTCAAGTTTGGTAAATTGAGAATGGAGATTCTCAATGGATGCCTCCATTCTACTATAATGTCTTTCATTTTCAACTTGAATACTTTTGGTAAGAAA